ACCCCACAGGGTTTCCAAGTAGCAGCTGGTGGATATGAACTGCCAACCTTTTGGTTAGCAGCCAAGCTCTTAACCACTGCACCACCAGGACTTTGATAAAGTGACCTTAATTCTTCCAATATATATCTAATAACTTTGGTTAAAGATTTCTAAAGCAGGCCGTAAGGAGCTAGATAATATGGCTACTGTGTTGTAGCTTTGCGTTCCCACAGTGTTTTGTGAAAGACGTCTGGCTCTAGTGGAAGCTCCTTTCCTCAGCAGAGTCTGCAAATACATAGTGTTTAGTGGGACATTGTTGTGGATCAAGTAGTGGATTAGGAGTTAGAAAACTCTCTTGAATTCTTGCCGTAGTCTCCTGGGAAGTTCATTCTGTTAAGCAGCAAATTTGTAAGGAGGGCCTTCTGAGTCACTGTAGGGTTCTGCTGAGCACTCCGGGAGATATTTACAAACCAGCCTAAGTACTGACCAGAAGATAGCCTGGGATCTACCTGGGGTAGAGGGCTCATGCTCACAACGCCATCAAGGACCAAGACCATGTAACATCACCTACTGCTGAGATAGTACAGATTTCGGATGCAGGAGTTCAGAGGTCAAAAAACAGTGGGGCTGGAAGGGCGAGAAAAGTTTACATAAAGGAGAGCTCCCTTGAGAAGGACAAGAGATGATGGTGAAAATCTAACATTACTGAATTGATAATATTTATTGATTACTTTCTTTGTGCCAGGCACAGGCTAAGTACTTCAGATGTAGAATCTCAAAGTGGAGGGATTCCAGATATGGATGAGCTACAAAGAGGAAAGCACAGAGGTGGTAGAAATAGTAGAAAATAGTTCATCGTATAAGGCTAGAGAGGAATGTGCAACATTAGTCTCTTATTTATACTCTTATTTAGAGAGTTGATAGATCCATCCATCCATCCATCCATGACATTTATAGAGTGCATCCTATATGTATGATATTAAACACTGAGAAAGCAGCAGTATTTAAGATAGACAAGTTCCTTGCCTTCATATAGCATGTATAGCTAATGGGAAATGCTGGTGATAAATTAATAAGCAAATAAATAAATATTTGCACATGCTATAAAGGAATTAAACAAGGAAATGTGACTACCTAATCAAAAGTAGCCTCACCAGTCTTTTTGGTTTTTGTTTTTGGCATAAAAAAGAAGTTTAAAAAATAACTTGTGCATTCACGTATTTGTCTCCTTATTTATACTCTGTCTCCTTCTGGGCTGTAAGAGTCATGAGATCAGGGACTAGTCTTGTTTCCTGCTGTTCCTCAAGTGTGAGGACACTGGCTGGCACAACATGGGCACACAGTAAATATTTGTTCAATACGTTCATTGAGTGGAGTCCGGGAAGAGATAGAGAGCAACTGACAAGGGACCCTGTGCAAGATTAGGGGACCCAGAAAGTATTTAGTTTGTATTTGTATTGTATTTGTTTTTAAAATCCTTTCCCTTCTTGAGCTAATACTTTTTTTGGGGGAGAAATTTTTCATGTGAGGAAGCTATGGAAAAATAAAACCTCATAAGGCAGTAGCTCAAGAGATCTATGACAAGTGTTTGACCAAACTACCTTGTCTTATTTTTGTTTCTAGCTATGACTTTGCTTCTGATAGACAATGAACCTAAGAGCTGTTATTTTAAAAATAGACACTTTTAAAAAATCTCAAAACAAAGTTGCCAGACTATCTAAGCCAATAGTTATGAAGAATCAGGGAATTCGTTTTCTCTAAACTTGATGGTCTGCTTTTCTCTCCAAAAATCTAAGAGCTTGACTGCCACACTGAAAACCCAGGTTTGCATTTAAAATCATTCCAAATATAGTTATAAAGCCTTATTCTATATTTGTAGAATGCAAAATTATTTTCGTTTGCTTTATGTTTTATTATCTTAGCTTTAACATTTGCAGTAAGAACGTTTGAATATCCTATGAGAAAAATGGGCAAAGGCCAGAACAGGAAACTCTTGCAATAAATAAATTTTAAAAATAAAGAGACAGAGTATAAAGAAATACAAAGAGCCAGAAAATGGATGAAAGACTGCTGAACCTCTTTAGCAATCAAGGGATTGCAAATTAAAATAATAAGGCACCATGTTTTGCATATCAGCTTGGAAAGAAATGGCAACAGTTTGAGGAAATAGAAACTCATACACTTGTTTGCTGTGAGTGTAGATTGTATCATCTTTTCAGGAAGCAATTTGACAGAATGAATGGTAAGTTTTAAAAATATATTTATCTTTGACCTATTAATTCTACTTCTGAGAATGTATCTTAATGAAATAATTATGTATGTATGACTATTTTGCCATGATTAAAGTGTTATTTAAGATAGCAAATGTTGCACATTATCTAAATGACCTACAAGAGGCACAATAAATTATGACACATAACTCATAAGCTGGGCAATATGAAGAAGAACTCGGCATCAGGATTGGAAGAAGATTCATCAACAACCTGCATTATGCAGATGACACAGCCTTGCTTGCTGAAAGCGAAGAGGACTCGAAGCACTTACTGATGAAGATCAAAGACCACAGCCTTCAGTAGGGATTACATCTCAACATAAAGAAAACAAAAATCCTCTCAACTGGACCAATAAGCAATATCATGATAAATGGAGACAAGATTAAAATTCAAGGATTTCATTTTACTTGGATACATAATCAACACCCATGGAAGCAGCAGCCAAGAAATCAAAAGACACATTGCATTGGGCAAATCTACTGCAAAAAAAAAAAACTCTTTAAAGTGTTGAAAAGCAAAGATGTCACCTTGAAGACTAAAGTGGGCCTGACTCAAGCCATGGTGTTTTCAGTTGCTTCATATGCATGCGAAAGTTGAATGATGAATAAGGAAGACCAAAGAAGAATTGAATTGTGGTGTTGGAGAAGAATATTGAACATACCATGGACTGCCAAAAGAACGAACAAATCTGTCTTGGAAGAAGTGCAACCAGAATGTTCTTTAGAAGCAAGGATGGCGAGACTATGTCTCACATACGTTGGACATGTTATCAGGAGGGATCAGTCCCTGGAGAAGGACATCATGCTTGGTGAAGTAGAGGGTCAGCAAAAAGAGGAAGACCCTCAGTGAGATGGATTGACACAGCATTGCAACAATGGGCTCAAGCATAGCAAGGATTGTGAGGATGGCACAGGACCGGGCAGTGTTTCGTTCTGTAGTACGTGGGGTGGCTATGAGTTGGAACCCGCTCGACGGCACCTAACACCAACAGCAACCCAATATAATAGCATATGGCTGTTAAAAGTAATTTTACACAAGTTTATTTATTGACTTGGAAAGGTGCTGAAGATAATATTAAGAAAATACAGCAAATTAAAAAAATTATTGCTACAGCATTCTATATAATACATATTTTGGAGAGAACGAGGCAAAGACAGGAAAAATGGAGTACAAACAAATGTGTTTATAGTGGTTGTTTGTGGGTGGTAGATTGTGGTTGCTTTTAAATATTCTTATTTGTTCATGATCTCTGGCTTTCGTATGATGAACAGGTGGGCTCTTGCATTAAAGTAAAAAGTGTGTGTGCTTTATTTAAAGTCTAAAAATAAATAGTTTTCTCTAAGGTTTCCCTGGGAAAACCAATAGAAATGTGGACAAAGGCATGAATAAGCCGTTTACATAGGGGACAATCTGGTTGACTGTCCAGTATGGGAAGAAATGCTTGAACTCACAAGTGGTAGAAGAAGTGCAAATTATAACCTCAATGGGATACCACTCTGTACCCATCAGATTGGCAGAAAGTAGAAATGTGGTGAGAAAGTGGGGAAACAGGATGCTGGTGGGAGTCTAAACTGGAGCAACTCATTTTGAAGAGTGAGTCTGGAGAGCCATTCTGGACAGCACATTAAATACGTCTATCTGTGGTCCTTCATCAATCCAGCTCCCACTAATTAAGATGTTTATTGCAGTGTTGTCTGTGGTATCAGAGAGCTGGAGGCACCTGAAGAGTCCATTTCTGGGGAGAAGAGAGAAGTAAATCGTGGTGGGTCATCACCACAGAATTCTATGTAGCCACAGTTAGAAGTAGCCAGACAACCATCAGTGAGGTTACATCTGACAAGGTCCATAGGTAGGGTTGCCAGGGAAAATACAGAATGTGTAATTAAATTTGAATTTCATATTGCAGGGGGCATACTTATCCTAAAAAATTATTCTCTTTATCTGAAATTCAAGTTTAACTGGATGTCTGTATTTTTATTTGCTTAATCTGATAACCCTATCCATAGCACGATATCATCTGTGAAAATTAGAGCTATGTACATGTGCAAATCAACCCGGCATATTTCACAAGACTATGTATCAAACACATTAATAGCTATTGCCTTTGTCAGGAAGGAGAATTGGGATAAAAGGAATAAATAAATATATAAACAAAGAAATAAGAGAGGGTCTTGACTGCACAGGTGTTGATAGTGAGCTGAGTATGATTAACTCAATTCTTTGTACCTAAAATCTAAAATGAAGCTAAAAAAAATGTTTTTTTCTATAGTCTCCTAGAATCTTTTTTTTTTTTCTAAAGTCTTGATAACACTGCCTGGATGATAAACAGAATATTCTGTTCTACAAAACAAAATCCCTATGGAATACTCAGGCACAAGGAAGTGAGTAGGAGGAGTGTACGCGGGTAATAGGGAACTCAGGAGAATACTTTAATAATTTTATAATGAAAATTGAAACTAGTAAGCAAATCAATTAAAAACATTGCTTCACTGAGATTTACTCCTGTAATAGAGGAACGTGCTTACATTCTTATTGTGTAAATATTAGTAAAAGAATACAAGTAAGTGCAAATCCTTAAGTGTTGCCATAGAGACAGCCAGAAGAACAGGCAAAGTTTAAATTTACTGCTTGGAAAATGATGGTTCAATATATGTCACCGAGTAACTGTTACTCTTTTCAACCCCTTTTTTCTTTTTTAATGTTAACAGCTGATTACAAGGAAAGCTTTAATACGATTGGGAACATTGAAGAGATTGCATATAATGCTGTTTCCTTCACCTGGGATGTGAACGAAGAGGCAAAGGTAAGTGAAGAGTAGCATTGATTCATTTGTTCATACATTTTAAATAATGTGTCCATTCTCTGCAGATGATTCTTTTACAAAAGCTTCTATAGGTAGGGAAGGATCTGTTAACTTGAGCCAGGAAAAAAGGAAGTGAACCTATTGTCTTTCCCTAGAAGTCACACACATTCAATTACTCACAGTTAAATTGCTTTTTGGGGGGTAAGGGAGCAAAGATAGTGTGTGGGCTCCTTAGTGGCCTCCCACAGAATGGCCAAGCCGTGTTCCCTTCAGGCCCTCAAGCTCCATTCAGTACCAGGGGCTGGCCAGGGTGGGCCAGCAAACCTTTTCTACCTGCACTGCAGACTCCCCCAATCACCCCTCTGAGGTCTCTCCATGCTGCTTTCAGAGGCAGGAAAAGGCTTGGAGCTAATGTCTTCTTCAGAGCTAATGTCACAGGCCTCCTGATCGCCACTCCCTCCAGGTTTAAGCTTGGTTGAAGGAGGGGCTCAGGGAGAGTGCTGCAGGTCTCTGAGCTTCACGGACTGACAGTAGTTACAGCAACCTTGAGCCCCTTCTTTCATTCCTGCTGCTTAAGCTTGTCTCATTTCTCTGGGGTGCCAGTATACTTAAGTGCAACCGTAAAATCTCTGGCGTGGTGTGCCCTCAGAAGAGCCGTCCCACCCTTGAACTGGTTGGGATAAGAAAGTTTCAGTTCCAGTTGCAGCTGAGTGGATTTCGACTCATGGTGATCCCATGTGTGTCAGAGTAGAACTGTACTCTGTAGGATTTTCGGTAGCTGATTTTTCACAAGTAGATCTCCAGGCCTTTCTTAGAGGTGCCTCTGGGTGGAGTCAAACCTCTAACCTTTTGGTTGGCAGCAGAGTGCGTAAACCTTTTGCACTACCCATGGGAGTCTGATAAGAAAGTAGGCTCATGGAATCCTGGAATTACCTTCCAGCCACGAGTTTCTTTGATTTTATGAAACCATCAAACTTTCCTGCTATGCTAACTCTTCTTTCTGTATTTCTTACCTTCTGATCCTTATTTTGCACTTAAGGGAAGTTTCTAGAAGAAATCTAAGCTTGTTTCTGCTTCAGTTATGTACCATCTAGGACTGTGTTAGAAGACTTTGTCTTCAAATGAATCCAAAGGTCAATGTCAACAAGCCCATTCAATGCTTTATTGTCTGCGGGCATGGGGAAGGTTTGGTAAGAAAGGAAGTGGGTTGGGAGTTTGCAGGCATGACTTACAGAAGAAGATGAATTGCTCAGTGTTTCATTTCACCCAGGTATGAAACAGTGTAGATGAGATGGGCTTCCGGCCCAAGAAAGATGACCCAAATGGGCAAATAGCAAGAGAGAGTCAGAGTAGCCTGGAGAATGTTCAAGTACTTCAGTGCATCCAGGGAAGGAGGTAGGCCTTGCACCAGATGGAAGATTAGGTCTCACAAAAAACTGTAGGAAGTTTGTCTCTAGGGCTCACTCTGCCTCCACTGAAAGTTCCTCACTCAAGTTCTATGCTTTCAGCACTTAATCCATCTCCTCAGAGACCTCAGCCCCATTCTCCCTGCTCCTTCTTCTCCCAGGCATGCTACATGCCTCATGCCACCTCTCTCAGCTCTGCCTGAACCTTTCCTATGTTACCCCCTACCTCCGCCTCACTCTGGTCAATTCTTGCCTTCCTCTTCCCGCCCTATTCTCTTGAAGCTCGATTATTAGCTACATGCTCAGGCAGCAGCCTGTGCCATGGGTGCAGTATTGGACTAGGGTTTGGATCTTTAGCAAGTCATCTGACCCCTCTGTGCCTCAGTTCCCTCATTCAAAACAAAACAAGCAAAAAGGCTTTTCCGAATCTCTCTGCTATACCTAGCATCACGCCAGGGGTAAGATGTGTGATGATACAGTGCTCTAGAGAAGGGAGGCAGGGAGCCGAGAACACGTGACGTGGGACAGAGGGAGCAGCAGGGGATAAAAAGGAATCGTGTAACTGCAAGTGCTTTGTCCATGTTGAAGCATGCTATGAATGTGAGCCATAATCGTCGCCATTATTTTCATTATCATGCGATTTGTGATGATGGATGCTAGTGGGTAAGTGTGTTAACTGTCACGTTTCTATAGGGACCTTTCAAAGAAAATGCGTAAACCTGAAGGGATAGCTTTAATGATGGAAGTTTCCAGCTTTGTGGTAGGCCAGTGAGGAAGTTCATTTGGGGTTGAGTTGGCCTTTCAGCCTAGTGCAGACCACACCACTCATTTTCCATAGGTGTGAGCTCACCTTTCTTGTTTACATTTGTGCGTGTGCTTGTGTTCTTTTGGGCAGACAAGTTTAAGCTCACATCTGCTTTGACAAATGGCCGTGGGGCATATTTTATATTGCAGCAAAACGTGTTTCTTTAATATATATGTTTTGTTACTGTAGCTTGGTTGTTGTAATTGTATGTGGTCTGGGTTAATCAGTAAGTAATAAAAAAAAGTTCCAAATAGTTTTCCCAAGACTACTGGAAGGGTTTTAAAGGAAAAGCGTCAAAATAAAACTCGTTTCATTAAGGAGGCCAAGAAGTTTTTTTTGGTCTGCAGAGCTAAAGGCATTTCTTATAATATTGATTTCACAATAAGCAGACTGCAAAAACCAAAATTGCATGGTTGTTGAAAAAGAGACTTTTAGCAATACAGGAAGGAAAGGGGTCCCTCTCACACTGAAATTGTTTGTGAGTTTCATATTCTGGAATTCTTGGGGGCATGGGAGCAGCTGCATTTGCCCTCTAATTCTGATTGGTAACAGCCGCTTCCGGGGTGGGGTTCCTTTTAGTGTCCCATGATGCTTTGGCTTGTGTGGCCAGAGGACACAGACTCGTGACTTAGACCCTTCATATGACCTACAGAATATAATGCATGTATATATGTATGTGTGTGTGTATCACACATTTATGTACTTATATTTTAAATTTTTCAAATTTTTTGCCCACCTTTATTAATCGATAGATTACTTTTTAAAAATACAGTTTTCCAGGTTCTTTGGAAAATTAAACATTCTGGACCCCATGGTTCCCAGTGTCTACAAGGCAACGAATGGGTCTTGTGAGGTACTGGCTGCTCCCCTTAATGCTCTCTCTAGGCTTCTTCATTGCAGAACTTTTCCTCTGGCCCTGGTGGACGTTTGAGCTTTCATGCCGCAATCACATCCCACCCTCTAAACAACTGACTATGCAGTTTAAATCTTCATTGGTTTTCAGTGTTGGGGGAAGCAATGACAAAATGGAGATTGAAACGGGAAGGTAAAGCTCAGCTAGGCCTGTGGCTGAGAGGAATTGGACGAGGGGCCCACCAGCATTCCCGGCTTCCTCTGGCCAGTCCTCAGAGAGCCACAGCAGCAGCAGGCCAGTGTTGCAGGCTGGCTTACGTCTGCACTGTTGAAGGGAGCTGCTGTGACATCCTTTTGCCCACACTGGTGGTAAATCTTTATCTTTGAAGGTGGATATTATTTAAAAAAAAAAAATCTGAACTCACTTGGATCCAAATGTGAATACATATCAACAAGTTGGATAATACAACTTTAGGGTTAAAAAGGAGCTAATTTGTTTTGCAAAGTTTTGTCAACCAGCTTTGAAGAAAGCAATTTTGGAAGAGACTCTATGCTTGGAGCAATGGCGGCAACATTAGAGAGAACCATATGTCTTCCCAAGTTGACTATGCAGAAGGACAGCCTTTATTTGAATATTTAAGTTTTGGCACACTTATTTAAAAAAAAAAGTCTAGTATTTGTTAGTCTTACCACATAAGTAAAATCAAGAACTGATAAGGTTTATGAATTTTTCTAGAGCACCTTCCCACTTTTTTCTTTTTTGCTGACTTACATTTTCTTTCAACCTCTCGTTTAGCATGAACAGAAGAAAGGAGAGGACATGAAACTCTAATCATTTAATTGTAGAAAAAGGCATAATCAGGGAAGGTGTTAAAACTATCAGCTACAATGAAATTTGGGGATTATTGCAGATTTCTGTAGTCTCGGCTGCAGCATAATTCTGGCGTAACTATCACGAAGTTCTTCGACCCATGACCGGTTGTACTGGTTGTGCCCCAGCGTCCTTCTGTACAATGACACCAAGCAACAGAAATTGTCTCTACTAAGACATGCTTTTGCCCTCAGGGTCTGTGCAGTCTGGAAGCCTATTTAATATGAATGGGTGGCTGTGGTCCCTGAGAATGATTCAGTGATATCTAGGAGGGTGAGGTGCTGGGGGGTCATATGGCCAAAGCTTGGACATTGGTGGGGGTGGGGCAGAGGGCGATGGGGAACAACGAGCACTGGCCTGAGGCTCCAACGACCAAGTACTAGTGCTGGCACGCAGTCACCGGCCTTGTGACTTCCCCTTTCTGCACTTTGGTTTTCTCAGCTGTAAAGTGGAAGGTGGGGAGGGGCTGTGTGTCTGACAGATTATGAAGATCCCCTCCATATGATTCCTGGGGGGAGAGTGGTGGTTCAGTGGTAGAATTCTTACCTTTCATGTGGGAAACCCAGGTTCAATTCCCAGCCAATGCACTCATGTGCAGCCACCACCCATCTGTCAGTGGAGACTTGTGGGTTGCCGTGATGCTGAACAGGTTTCAGTGGAGCTTCCAGACTAAGATGGACTAGGAAGAAAGGCCTGGCAATCTATTTCTAAAAATTAGCCAATGAAAAGTCTATGGATCACAAAGGTCTTATCCACAACCGATCATGTGGAAGGTGTAGGACTGGGCAGTGTTTTGTTCCATTGTGTATGAGGTCGCCATGAGGCAGGGCTGCCATGAGTAGGAGCGACTTGACAGCAACAACAACCATATGATTCTGATGGGAAGGCAGCAGTGTCACATTCTCTCCATGACTCCCATGGAAAATCTGTAATTTTTTTTCTTTCTCCCCTTAACCAAGCCCTGGTGCCTAAAAAGTAGATTTGTTGGCCACTAATCGCTGAGATGAGGAATTCCCACGCAAGATCCTATTGAATTATTGAAGTGCTAGAGCTCAGATTCCTGGCA